GAACTTGCTGCCACCTGAACTCCCCCTGGTAACGCTGATGCCCCCAGGGATCTGGTTTGCATGTTGTGCATGGCTGGGCAGGGTTGTGTGGCTGACACTGGGAGCCCTGCAGGAGCAGCCCCACCTCACCAGGCCATGCTGCTCCCTCCCTCACAGGGCATGTCAGAGACGTTCGAGACCCTGCACAATCTGGTGCACAAGGGTGTCAAGGTGGTGATGGACATCCCCTACGAGCTGTGGAATGAGACATCCGCTGAGGTGGCTGACCTCAAAAAGCAGGTACCCCACCCCGTGGGATTGGCTTTCAGTGGCTGCTGTGACCTCGTAGGCTGGAGTGGAAGGGGGGAGAGCATCCTAGGAGCAGGATGTTGGCAGGACCTGTGGCAGGAGCCTGGCCCTGGTCCTGCCACACCAGCACGTGTTTGGAGCTGGGCTCTCCTCTCTGCCCTAGTGCGATGTGCTGGTAGAGGAGTATGAAGACGTGATCGAAGATTGGTACAGGCACCACCAGACGGAGGATCTCTCCCAGTTTCTCTGTGCCAACCACGTGCTAAAAGGAAAGGACACAAGTAAGTCGTGGCTGCTTCCAGGGGCTGAAATAATGCAGGAATGCTCAGGAGGGCAGGGAAGCCTTGCTAAAGCATGGGAGTCCTGCCTCTCCAGCAGCACCTCCTCTGCCCCTCTCCTCATTTCCCTAGGCTGCCTGGCAGAGAAGTGGACTGGCAAGAAGGGTGATTTGGCAAGCGTGGGGGAGAAGCAGAGCAAAAAAAAGAGCGGCAAAAAGAAGAAAAAGGGCCAGAAGGATGAGCGCGAGGGAGCTGCCAGCCTTCCGGACACAGGGGAGGCCCTGGAGGGGGTCCAGGAGCAGGCTCCGCTCACCCACAGCCCAGCCGATGAGCTGTAGGCACGCAGCCCCTGTCCCCGGGGCCGCCCGCTCCGGGGTTTCACCCCGCTGTGCCTATGGGTACCAAAGGAAAAGGGACTTGTGACCCGGGGGAGACCGGAGCGCCTGGCCCCGCCTGGCCAGCCTGGGTGCTATCCCGTGATTCGGTGTCACGGAGCCGCTGGGGACCCAGCCCTGCCGCATCCCTGCCGGGGGCTCCAGCTCCCGAAGGCCGCGAGCGCTGCCCCGCCGCCGGCTCCTCGCACGCCGCCGGGACTGTAAATAAAGACGTTTTCCCCAGACTCGCCGCCGCCACTGCCGGCCCTGCTTCTGCTGCTGCTGCGGCGCGGGGAGAGGCCGGTGAGGGGCGGGCGGCTCCCGGGGCCCGGGGAGGGGCCGGTGACGGGCGGGCGGGCCCCGCGGGCCGGGCCCTGACCCGGCCGAGGCAAAGGTCGGGGCCGTGAGGGGGCGCGGCGCGAGCGCTGCCGGGCGGCGCTCATTGGTGGGGGCGCGGCCAGGGGGGCGTGGCCTGGCCGGAGGGGCGCGACGCGAGCGTTGATTGGCGGGCGCGCGGGGGCGGACGCGGCGGGGATTGGCGGGCGCGCGGGGGCGGGCGCGCGGGGGCGGGGCGCGGCGCAGCCGGGCTGAGGGGCCGCGGCCGTGTCGGTGTCCGGGTGCGGGTCCCTGACGGCGGCGGGATGGTGGACAGCGTGTACCGGACCCGCTCGCTGGGAGTGGCGGCGGAGGGGCTGCCTGACCAGTATGCGGACGGGCGGGCGGCCCGCGTGTGGCAGCTGTACATCGGGGACACGCGGGACCGCACGGCCGAGTACCGCAGCTGGCTCCTGGCGCTGCTCCGCCAGCACCGCTGCCGCTCCGTCCTGGACGTGGCCTGCGGCACCGGGTGAGGCCCCGCTCCCGCCCAGCTCCCAGGTGTCCCTTCCCCCTGCTTCCCGGGGCCTCCCTGCCCGCGGCCATGCCCAGAGGCCCCCGTGTTGCCCCCAGCCCCGCTGACAGCCGTGTCCCCAGGGTGGACTCCATCATGCTGCTCGAGGAGGGCTTCCAGGTGACCAGCGTCGATGCCAGCGACAAGATGCTCAAGTACGCGCTGAAGGAGCGCTGGGAGCGGCGCAAGGAGGAGCCCTTCGACCGATGGGGTGCGGGGGCTGTGGGGGCCGGGAGGGGCTGCGGGCACTGACACTGCCCCGGCGCACTGGCCATGGCCCCTAGCAGTGCTCAGGCCACTCGTGTGGGACTGCCGCCGGCCCGGTGGCCTTGCTGCGGGCACCTGACCGTGCCAGCTGCTCGGCAAAGACAAGCCATAGTCCTTGCCTGGCTGGCTGCTGGCCAGAGGCAGAGCGAGCAGCCACAGGGGCTTGGGGAGGGCTGGGTGATGCTGGGATGGGGTCTCGCAGGCAGGGGAGGCTGTTGGGTGTCCCTAGCCTCATCCATTTCCCTGTGCTGCAGTCATCGAGGAGGCCAACTGGCTCACACTGGAGAAGGACCTGGAGAAGCCAGGGGATGGGTTTGATGCAGTCATCTGCCTGGGGAACTCCTTTGCACACCTGCCTGATTTCAAAGGTGAGTTGGGGCAGGGGAGAGGAGGGGGAGCACCTGTGCGTTCATGGTGTCTTCCAGCAAGCTGAGAATGTGTCCCAAGTCATGGCATTGTTGGGATGGGATTGCACACAGTGGAGCTGCTCTTTCATGGTGCATCTCTAGGGAGGGTGGAGCTGAGGCCCCACTGCCCCAGTCTGTGACATGAGTGGGCCCACTGGGTTCCATGCTCATGGTAGGGGTTTGTGCACCAATGTACTGCTGTGACAAGGCTGGAGCACACCCAGACTTGTGCCACAAAGGCGGGTGGTGGGTTTCCCACGTGGCATGCTCTGCTCCAGTGAGGCTGAGAACGTGCCTGAGCTCATGCCACGGGTGGGGCTGTGGGTTCTGCAAGCTGAGATTTGGGGGCAGATGGTAGGGGCAGGTATTTGTGTGTGCATGTCTACGTGCGTACAGGTAAGATGAGGGCATATCCAGTACAGCCAGTGGGGTACAGCCAGTGCTTGGAGACGCCATAGTTTCCTCTCCAGGGGACCAGAGTGACCACAAGCTGGCTCTGAGGAACATTGCCAGCATGGTGAGGCCCGGGGGTGTCCTGATCATCGACCACCGCAACTACGATCACATCCTGGCCACGGGCTGCGCGCCGCCCGGCAAGAACATCTACTACAAGGTCGGTGGCTGGCACACCCTGCCCCATCCCAATTCCCTTTGCCCCAGCCCCATGGCCTCAAGGGGGCCAGGCAGCAGGACTGTGCCCAGGCTGGGGGCCACCGAGTCCCCACAGGACACAGACATCCTCCTGTGCTCTCCCAGAGCGACCTGACCAAGGACATCACCACCTCGGTGCTGCTGGTGAACAACAAGGCACACATGGTGACCCTGGACTACACGGTGCAGGTCCCCCCCACTGAGGCAGGGGCAGACCCGGAGCTGAGGTGAGAAGACCTGCAGAGGTGTTGGCTCCTGCCATGGGGGGGTGGCTGGCACTGTCCCCTGCTGTCCCCTGCCTCACCAGCACTGCCTCCTTGCAGCAAGTTCCGCCTCTCGTACTACCCACACCGGCTGGAGGCCTTCACAGCCCTGCTGAAAGGAGCCTTCCAGGGAAAGTGCCAGCACACTGTCCTGGGTGACTTCCAGCCCTACACGCCAGGCCAGGCCCACGTGCCCTGCTACTTCATCCACGTCGTGAAGAAGACAGGCTGAGGGGGCTACGGACATGGGACTGTGGTGGCTGAGAGCTCCAAGCAGCTGTGGGTCCAAGCAGGGGGTGGGGACATGGCTGAGAGCCACCTGGGAGACCCCTCCCCTTAATTAAGAACACTTGTGAGAGCTACCTTGGGTCATGGTCCGTGTGTCCCTGTCTGGGCAGGGTATGGGGCAAGGGGGACAGCCACTGCCTCCTCAGGACTCTGTAGAAGGAGGTGCTCAGCCTGGGGGGCACAGGATGGGCGCAGGCACAGCTGCCCCACCAAGGCCCCAGCTGCAGGTGGGGCTTGGGGCTCCCCTTGAAGAGGGAAGGAGGGGAGAGCTGGCTCCCAGGTGGTTGCACACCCCAGCTGAGTCCCTGCAGCACCGCTCACAGCAGTGGGCTGGATCTGTTATCTCACCTGCACCTCCCAAACAGGTGCTGACTCCTGTTCTTGACACTCCCCAGCCCCACACAGGGGTACCCACACCCCCAGTGGAGCCTCCAACAGTGCTTCTGCTGTGGCTGCAGCTCCCTCCCTCCCACCCTGGAGGTGCCCAGATCCAGCAGCACGGAGCACTGCGGTCAGGGAGAGCCCTGCCTGAACACGCTCAGGCACCAGAGCCAGAGCCACAGGGCTCCAGGCAAGCACCAGCTGCAAACTCACCCATGGAATGCCAGAAGCTGCTGTGGAAGCAGGAGCCCCAGGGGGAGCAGGCCCTCACAGCCACGCCTGGCCCAGGGATCCAGCTGTCAGCAGTCTCAGTGCCTGCAGCAGCTGGGGCAAAACCTGGCACCAGCAACTCCCTGGGCTGCACAAAGCTGAGGGCAGCTCCAGTGCGATTTCTTGGGAAGCAGGGGATGTGCAAGGCCACCAGCAGCTGCTGTGAGGCTGCACAAGGAGGTGAGGCAGGACCTCACGGGGGTCTGGGCCAAGTGGTGCTCAGCACAAATTAGTGCAGACTGGGCAGCTCCAGGCTGTTCCAGACAAGGTTTGAGTATTTCAAAGGCTGAAGCTCCCCCTCTCCCTCTGACAAATTTTTCCTCTCATCCAATGGGAATTTCTTTTCTGCCACTTGCTCCCATTGCCACATGACCTGTCACCCAGTGTCTCCAGCAAGAACTGGGCTCCTTCTGCAGAGGGAGCTCAGCTCACAGCCAAGCAAGTGCCTCTCCCTCAGGCATTCCTGATCCAACAAGAGCTCCAGCCATTCTAGCAGGGTGAGAGTTGCCCCTCTTGTTCACAGGTGTGCTCCCCTCTCTACCTGCAGGACAATGATTTCTCTGCACCACCCAAAATTTTGCAGGGACCTTCCTGAGCCTACAGACACCAAAAGAAGCAACAACTTGCAGTCAGGCAGTGAGCACCTAGTGCTAAAACACCTGTATTTATTTAGAGACTATGTCAAGTCCAGGGCAGCTGGAGCAGCAGTGCCCTGTGTCCTGCTGCCCCTCTGGCCAGCACCTCTCATTGGGGGCTGACAGTCAAACAGCAGCTGCCTCCAGCCCTGCAGGTGCAGTTTGAGCCTTGCTCCCCCACCAAAGAATGGCCTCTCAGCCATGGAGACACCCCTACACTGCCCACAGCTCTGTCCCTGCATGGAAATCACCCTGCTACGTTCCCAGCAGCCACAATGCACTGCTGACACCTGAGGGACCCTCACAGAGCCCACCACCCTCCTGGGTGAGCAGAGCAGCACTTCCAGCAGGCCTTGGCTTGGGAAACTGCACAGTCACCATTTCCATCCAAGCTCAAAAGAAGGGAGCCCAGGAGGCATCAGAGGAGAGCAGGCAGTGCCTGTTTGTGCCTGTTCTGCAGTCCCAGCTCTGCTGAGCTTTAGGAGGCTGCAAACTTCTGCTGGATGAGTCTGTACCTGAGCAGCTCCTGCTCAGAGACTGATGGCTGCAACCTGGCAGCAGCCTGCAGAAAGTCTTCCATGGTCAGGATCAGAGCAGACTTCTCGGTATCCAGCCCTGCATGAGAGAAACATGGAAGGGCTGAGAACAGGAGCAGCTGGTAAGATCCAAAAGCCATCAAAGGAAAAGCTGTGTCTCTCTCCTTCCCCCTGGGGCCAAGATGACCACATCTGCAGAACCTGCCTGCCTGGCAATAACCCAGAGCCCAGCACTGTGGTCCCAAAGCTGCTGAGGATCTTCTCACACAGCCCAGCAGTGCTAACTCTCCTCTCTGCCCCTGTGCTGGGCTGCTCCAACAGCTGGCACAGGTAAGGGCAGGGCTCCTACCTTCCTCAATCCACTCCACCTTGCGTTTGACAGCACACATCATGGCATCTGAACACAGGGCATAGATGTCTGCTCCTGTCAGCTGAGCTGGGCATTTTTCTAGGATGGTGGTGAGATTCACAGAAGGATCCAGTTTAAACCTGCCAAGAGAGAAAAACAGAGGTGTAAAGGCCAAGAAAAAACAGATGAGTGTGACTGGGCAGGAACAAGCAGAGTACTCATGCTTAGCCGCCTCCAGAATGTGCTCTGCATGCTCAAAAAAAAAAAATTTGCTATACTGTTTTTTTCAACAGTCACTTTTCTTTGAAACATCTCTGCAGCAAGGTCCTCTCTCCTGCTAAGCAGGATCAAAGGAAACTTTGAATCACAGCACCACAGCACAGCATGGCCTGAGTTGGAAGGGATCTTAAAGATCATCCAGTTCCAACTCCCCTGCCACAGGCAGGGACACCTTCCACTGGACAACATGCTCCAAGCCCCATCCAGCCTGGGCTTGAACATGTCCAGGGATGGGGCATCCACAGCTTCTCTGGGCCTCTCTGTTTCCAGGCTAGGAAGCACAAAGGATGTAGGGATCAGTCTTGGAACCATGGTGCAGGATGAACTCTCCAGAACACCATCTGTTTATGCCACTGGTGTTTGACTTCTCACCTAGATAAATTAAGTGTTCCACATGCCTGGGAACAACCTGCAGTCATGGCTGGATGAGAACGTTTAATGAGAGACTACAAACCACTGTAACCCCAAACCACTCCATGAGAGCCACCCTGCAGACAGTGAGCCTCCCTCAGCATGAGCAGCAGCTGCTGGAGGGCATGGTGGCCAAGACACAGGGTGTGACAAGCTGCTGGCAGCCAGCCCACACTCTCACCTCTCCTCCTAACTCACAGTGACAGGGAGAGGTGATCACAGCTACCCAGGACAGAGTCCCTGCAGAGGCAGTCACAGCCACTCACCCAGCTGTGGTGGGGGGCACCTCTGCACCCCAACTGCAGGCCTGGCTTCTCTCCCTCCAGAGATGCTCTCAGGAGCTCAGAGCAGCTGGAAAAGCAGCCAAACCCTGCTGCTCAGCAATCCCACACAACCAGTGATGGGGAAGACACAGATCACAGTCTGAACACCCCTGTGTTGCAGACATCTTTTCATGAAAAATCCTTTCCTTAAGATTTTTCCTCCTGAGAAGCCTCAGGAACAAAATGTAAACAATGATTATCTGCTGCTGTGGAATGCAACAGGTGCATCTGTGATTGGCCCATCTTGGATGTTTCTAATTAATGGCCAATCACAGTCAGCAAGCTCAGACTCTCTGTCTGAGCCACAAGCTTTGTTATCATTCCTTATTTTTCTATTCTTAGCTGGCCTTCTGAAGAAATCCTTTCTTCTATTCTTTTAGTATAGTTTTAATCTAATATATATCATAAAATAATAAATCAAGCCTTCTGAAACATGGAGTCAACATTCTCATCTCTTCCCTCATCCAAGAATCCCTTTGAATACCGTCACACCCCTGAGCACCACAGGAGGAGAGGCAATGAGCTGAATGGAGCTGCCTTCACATTTGGATTGGCAAACAGCAGGGGAAATTCTCTTGCAGGAATCAAATGGGAGCTTCCTGTCCTGCAGCTGCACTGCAGTCTTACTACACCATCAGGATCTGGCTGAGCTCCATAAGAAAAGCACATGGCTGGAAAACTCTACCAACCCCTCCACTTGGACAGGCAGGCTGAGCTCCACCCATCCTGTAGAAAAACCAGTCCCAGCTGGAAATCGCTCTGTCCTCCTGCCCTACCCACTGGCTGCGGCTCAGCGACCTCAGGTGCTCCCCAGAGCTCAGACATGAATCCAAGATGGAGCACACCATGCATGAGCCTCAGGAGGGCTGTGACCCCCTGGAAGGTGGTGGCAGGAGGCTGCAGGAGCACAGGGTCACTCACCTCCTGGTGACAGCACTCAGCACCTGCAGCTGTGACTCCCGGTCCTCGTTGATGCCCACGTAGACCAGCTTGTCAAACCTGTCAGCACAGAGAGGGCAGCTGGGTACAGACCAAAGCAAACCTGCCACAAGGGCTCAGCCTTGTGCACCAGGAGCTGCAGGACAGCTCATTTTGCTGTCCAGTCTGTGGGTGATACAGAGCCTGAAGCAGCTGATGTGCTCGGAGGGGCAGCGGCAGGCTGGGGAAATGGACACACAGGAACCACCCATGGTCCAACAACAGCAGATACAAAGTGCTGCCCCAGGACAAGCAAGTCACAGGCTTGAGGAGTGGCTGGGGGGCAGCTGTGCAGAAAGGGCCCTGGGGCACCAATTCCTGCCATTTCTTGGTGCAACAGCAGCTCCCTCATGGCCCTGCTGTGCTGCTGGGGCAGCAACCAGAGCAGTGGGGGCAACAAGCTGTGGTATCTTACACTGCTGCTGCTACAGCCACAGGCACCAGCCCCCTCCTGGCTTTCTGTAAGCCAGGGGCCTTCACAAACAATCTCTGCAGAGGGAACGTGCTAGGGACACAGTCCTGCTCACCAGGGCCTGAGGAGCTGTGGGGAACCCCCCTGAGTGAGGCAGGGCAGGGTGGGACATACCTGCCCGGCCGTAGCAGAGCTGGGTCCAGGAGGTCAGGCCTGTTGGTGGCTCCAATGACAAACACCTCTCTGCTGGAATGAAGGCCATCAAGCTCTGCAAGGAGCTGTGAGACAACTCTGCAGAGAGCAAGACAGGACACTTAGAACTTGGCAAGTCACCCAGTGTCTCCCCTCAGCCACCAATGAAAAAGGAAGAATTGAGGATAGTGGCAGGTCCATTTCTCAGACTTCAGCTCCTGTTTCTCTTCCCTGAAGAGCCCTTACACAGCCATCCAGACTTCTCCATCAGCACAGCCAGCAAGCACATGGGCTCACTTCAAAGTAGTCCAAATCCCAGACAGTCCTTCAGAACAGGAAAACTGGATGGGGACTGCCAGCTTAGCAGAAGAGCAGAGGAGGCCTAGGGAAAATAACCCTGTTCCTGGGTATCTCTAAGCTGTACACACTTTGCTTCTACCAGGAGCACCTGAAAGGTTTCCCACCCCAGGGGAACAGCAGCTAATAGGAGGACAGAACAGCAGGGGTGTGAAGGATGACCTTGGAGAGGCCAAAGGGAGCACTTGGCAGCCACAGAAGCAGATGGAGGAGACTGTCTTAACCAAATGTTTGCACAACTAGCTTGGGCAATCGGGAACCTGAGGCAATGCAAACAGCAGTACTAATGCTCAGAGAGAAGAGACAGGCCATGCTGAGAGCTGAAGAGAGCAGAGAGGGGGAAAAACAGAGAAAGAGAGGTGGAATGGACTATGCCTTTCAGGGCAATCTCATGCACTGCCTGCAGCTGAGGCAGGAATCCTGCTCTCCCAAGGACACCTGATGCTCACTTACCTGTCCATGACACCCCCTGAATCTCCACTTCGCCCACGACTGGGGGCCAGGGAATCCAGCTCATCAAAGAAGATAATGCAGGGAGCAGCTGCCCTGGCTCTGGCAAACACTGTGAGGAGACAGCACAAAAGGTGAAAAAGACATGGAAGAGCAGTCAACAGCAACAGGACCTGCTACATTCCCAGCAGGGAACAGGTGTGGATGGAAACTAGATGTCCACTGTACCACCAACTGCTCCTGCCTGAGTGTCTCAATAGAATGGGGACAAGCAGCACTGAGCAGGATGGGCCCTGAGGCTCAGCTGTGACTCTGAGGAGCTGCTGTCCAAGCAGGAGGGCCCTGAGGCTCAGCTGTGACTCTGGGGAGCTGCTGTCCAAGCAGGAGGGCCCTGAGGCTCAGCTGTGACTCTGAGGAGCTGCTGTCCAAGCAGGATGGGCCCTGAGGCTCAGCTGTGTCTCTGAGGAGCTGCTGTCCAAGCAGGATGGGCCCTGAGGCTCAGCTGTGACTCTGGGGAGCTGCTGTCCAAGCAGGAGGGCCCTGAGGCTCAGCTGTGTCTCTGGGGAGCTGCTGTCCCATCAGAACACCAGGGACAGGAGCAACAGGAGCAGAGAGAGCAGGAGGGGAAGCTGCAGGCAGCAGGGAACGGACTGTAGGAGACAGCTGGGTTCAAAGCACTTGCTGAGAGCTGTGGGTGGGAGTTGGGAAGGGGGTTTAAGCCCTGCCTCCTTCCCTGAAGCTCTACAGAAAAGCCCCATGTCCCCACATGCAGGAGCAGGATGCACATCCTCACCATTGCGCACGTTCTCCTCGCTTTGCCCGACGTACATGTTGATGAGCTCTGGTCCTTTCACACTGTGGGGCAGGGAGAGGAGGAAGCCAGTTAGAGACACCCATGCCCTGCCAGCAGGAAGTCAGATCCATTGTGAGAACCTCCCTCACATTTCTCCTCACCTCAGGAATGTCATGGTGCATGTTGTTGCCACAGCTTTTGCCAGCAAGGTCTTCCCTGTCCCTGGAGGCCCGTACAGCAGCAGCCCAGAGCGGCACAGACCCAGGGACAGCAGCTCTGGGTGCTCCAAGGGCAGCTGGATAGTGTCCAGGATCTCCTTCTTCACCTCCTGCAGCCCACCAACATCCTGCCAGGACACTGAGGGGATCTGCCAAGAGAGGAAGAACCTTGTCAGCACTTAGTCCTTAGTGTGCCTGGGCAGCTCCAGTATCCAAAACTGACATTTCCCCTCTTTTGAGGTTTGCAAGGGAGAACCAAACTGTACAAACACATCCTCAGGCATGCTGCACTAACAGAGTGCACTTCATCTCAAATCCTCCACTGGGAGGAGGATCCCAGTGGAAGGAGGACTCCAATCCTGCCTCTGGGAAAATAAGTCAGCAAAAAGTATCTGCAGCTTCGAGGGGAGAGAGTCTTGCTGCAGGCAGCCTTTGGGATGCGTGAAGGAAGGCAAAAATAAGAATAAAAATTAAAAATTAACTGTGCAAGGGCTTCACACCTTGCAGAGGGACGGAACCTGGGCTGCCAGGAGCTCTGTGATGGCAAGGAGGATGTGACAGAGAGAAATCCTGCAGAACAGTGTATGGAACACTCACTGCTCTTGAAAGGAGGATGCAAGAGCAAAGTCCACGTGTGCTCATAAGGGGGTCAGCTGAAGACATCTGAGGGGTCAGGGAGAACAGAGAGAAGACACCAAACCTGAGATGGGTGAGCCAAGGCCTCTTGGGTTATTTTGTGCTGAGCAAAACTATCCCAGAGCATGCTGCTGCTCTGCACTTTAGGAATAGCTGGAATGCCACAGCATGCATGACATCCTCCTGAGAGTCAGAGCAGCTCTCCAGGGAAAGCCCCACACTTCCCCCCACACCTGCTGGTGCCAGCACAAGTGGGGAGTTCAAAAATAGCTTAGGGCAAAATTCTTCCCCCACCTCAGCTAATTTGCATCTCCTTCCTTCACTACTTGAAATGATGTTATCTTATTTTATTTCTTTAGCTGTCCACCAGGAAAATTAGGCCAAACAAAACAAGGATCTTCAGAAAAAAACAACTTTTAAAGCAAAAGGTCACTGGCCCTTCTTCTGCAGTGACAAGGAATGCAAGAGCTGCCCTCTCCTCTGCACTTTTGCTCATCCTGCCTTGCTAGAGAGAGCTCTACAGACATGAGCACAGGAAAACTGCAGCAAGGTTGTTTTCAGGGGAGCACATTGTAAGTCTAAGACAGGGTGCAGACACTGCTAACAAGTGGAGGTTTGGAATCAGCCCTCTCCAGAAGGCTCAGGCTGTAAGTGCAGACAAATGTGTGACTCACCAGAAAGTGCAAGCAAGGAACTGAAAGCAATGTTGAGAGTATCCAGGTCTGCTAATGGGCTTCCTGACCACAACCAATTACTAAAAAATCAATAAAGGAATGTAAAATGCAAACAAAATTAACTCCCATTCACACAGCTCAGTGCTGAGCATGCTCTGTGGTTATCTGTCTTACAGCAAACTTGGCAAACCCCATTAAACAGAGATCACTGCATGAATTAAGTGGGCAGCTGGGGAAGGTGCCAGAGGAACTGCTCCAAGGCCAAGGCTTCCTGTCCTGTGCTGAACTCAGCTGTTGGCACTTATGGGCATGGAAAAGAGCTTCTGTTCACTTTGCTTGGTCCTAACACCACATTGCCCAGCCAAACCAGTCACCCCAAATGCTGCTTCCCTGGGGCCAAGCTGCTAGGGAAGATCACACCCCTTCTGAGCAGCTGACTGCTGCTTTTCTCAGACTCTCCATGTCACTTTCCCTGAAGAAATCCCAAGTTCTTCAAACTGCCTGTCTGTCAGAAAAGTCCATCCCAGCTCAAGCAGCATCCAAGGCCAGAGATGAAGTCTAAGACTTATCACATCTGTGGAGAAACTGCCCCCACCAGCCTGTGCCACAGCCTCTCTGTCCCCTCAGGCCAGGTGGCTGGGGAGATCTCAGGGAGGCAGCTCTGCCCCTCAAGCTGCACAGCTGGCACCCCTCCAGCACCACTGGTCTGCATTTAGCACTGCACGAGCTTCCCTAACAAATTCCAAGCCAAGAGGGTGAAAACTGATGGGAGAAAGTCCAGAGGACTCTTTCCCACTGAAAGCTGAGCGAATACAGGGAAGGACAGAGCAGGAAGCAACGTGTCAGAACACAGCCCTGCAAGATCTGTGATGGGCATCTTGAGCCAAGAGCTCTGCAGAACCCAGCCCCTCCCTGGGCCCCAACATCTCACCTTTGGGGCTCCCACGGCCTGTGAGTGGGCATCATGCAGCTGCTCCAGTGCAGCACTAAAATCCTCCTCGAGCACCGGGAACCCTGCAGTGCAAAAATCCCTCTCCACTTCCTCGCTCAGCCCGCCTGGAAAACTGGTGAGGAAAGAAAGGGAAAGGGGTCAGACTGTGTCCCACTAGTGGCTGCAGGCCCTGCCCTCCCCACCCTGCTGCCTGTGCTACCTCAAGGCCTGGATGCGGGTGCAAGCAGCCCGGCTGCTGTGGGACAACAAGGCACAGAAATCTCCCAGCACAAATCCCTGTGAATGTGGAAACAAAGAGCATCACTTCAGTCCCTCACCACAGCTACACCTAGGCCATAAAAAGCATAGGGAAAAATTCCTTGCAGAGCTGTTTCTTGAGCAAGTTCCTGCTTAAAGGCTCTAGCTTCAATTTTTTATTTTTTATTAGCAGAGCTGAACATCAGCCAACACCTCTGCAAAAGGTGTGCACTACAAATCTGCATTTAAAAGCTGATGTCTGAGCACCAGGATTAGCCACAGAAGAAGTTGTTTGGGCTGTGGGAATTACCCCTTTCTCCAAGACCAGCCAGGGGAGATTGGCCCAGCACTGCCAGCCTGGCCATCCCCATGTGCTGCTATGCTTTTACTCACTGCAGTCCTGCGTGCTTTTACTCACTGCAGTCCTGCGGGCCAGCTTGGACAGGCTCACTTCTTTGCCCAGAGGCAGGCTGGCAGTCAGCATGCTCAGCATCAACCTCCTCTGCTCCTCTGAAGGGGCCTCAATCTTCACCTCATGGAGGAAAGCAGTCTGCACATCTGTGGGAACATCCTGGGGCTTGCAGGTTGTGCCAATCACCAGCACGGGGTGGCTGTGGGGAGAAAAGGGACAGTGCATGGTCTCAGCTCTCTGTCTCTGCTTCTCCCTTGGCAGAAGCAAGCAATTACCTTGAATACCCACAGCAAACGTGCAGGGTCCATACCTCAGTGCTGGCTCTGTGTCCAGGAGCAGCTGCCTGAGGGTAGCAATGACCCTGGCGTCCTCCCCGAGCCCGTCTCGCTCTCTGCCAAGCACCTCGATGTCTTTGAGCAGGAGCACACAGGGCTGGTACTGCTGGGCCTGGCTGAAGGCCACCTGCACTTTCTCCTCTGTGGCTGCACTGGTGTCACTGCACAAACTGACACAATCGACCTGCCAGACACACAGACAAGGCAGTTGCAACATGCATGGCTGGGGGGACATAGGACAACATTCCACAAAGTTTTGCACAGGCAATTCAAGGCTCAGAGGAGATCAAACTTGGTGTTTCACAATAATTCCTGAATATGACATTCAGGTCATACTCAAAATAGGCACGTTCTGGATGCCTTAGCATGGATAACTGGCTGTCTCTTGCTTCTCTGCAAGAGGTGAGGCAGGCAGGAGGGTCTTATCTGAAAAAGGTGAGGTAAAGGGACCAGAGAAATCAATACAGTGGATATCACAGCTCAGCAACCTCAGCTGGAAGAGATGAGAGCTGGAAGGGAGATGAGAGCTGTGGAAGCCAGGGAGGACAAAGTATCTTGCACAACAGTGCAGTAAGCAGAGGAGGAGGCCCAGGAAACTGCTCAACCAGTGCCAGACCGGCTCAAAGTGCAGGAGGAAGGTGAAGGTGATGAGTGTTTGGGGGGAAGTTAGAGATGGCAGGAGGCCCAGACACTGTTTACAAAGCAAACACTTGCTGAAGTCATGCAAGGGAAGAGGTGACTGGTGAGCCTTGAACAGCAGCCTGGGAACAGGCAGTGCTGCCTCCTGGTGCTGTGAGGCTGTCCAGGGAGACTCAACCATCCCCAGGACTCCCTGAGCTTCATCCTCAGCCTGAAGCAGGGAGAACATCTCCCTAAAGGGCAAGGACAGGGACACAGCGCAGAGGAACTCCTGTGCTCCATGTACTACAGAAAAAACCCAGGAGTTAGGGTTGTAATGGCAGCAGTATCTGTATGCAAGCACTGAAAGGCAGAGAGAAAGGACAAAAAGTTGTTTATCAAGTGGTGGACATTAGATTTCCTTCCACGAAAAGAGGAATCTTCCAGCCCTATTCTTTCCATTTTTCTTCTTCTTCTTCCATGTCCTTGCAAAATTTCAGAAAGTCTCCTAGCACGTGACTTCCTCTCACTTTTGCAAACATAACTCTACAGATCCGAGGAAATTAAAACATTTGTGGGATAATCCTGGACTGTCAGAGTGAACAAAAGAGGTATGCTGGAAGAAAATAGCAATTTTAACAAGTCACTGAAGACTCTGCTGGTTCCCAGAACCTTTTGTGCTGGACAGAGACAGGTGCTAGACCTCATTTTGGCCATCCAGGCACATAACATTCCCATCAAAAGAGCTTTTTCCAGTCAGATGTGGTTTAGTAACAGTAGATTTCTCATCCAAATTCTCTCACCTATACAGAGAAACATCTCCTTTAGCTTGCCTCCTCCCACCAGCTTCATCTGACAATCACAGGCCTCATGCTGGCACAGGGAAAAATAAACACCTTCCATGCTCTGCTGACCTCTCAAGCCCTTCTGAAAAATCTCTTTCAAAAAGATCTTGTAAAAACTTGTATCAGACTCTCTCTTCATTCTTTCTTTTTCAAGCTGAAGAATTTATTCAGTTTTTCCCCACACAGAAGCTGGTCTAGACCCCTGATCTTACCCAGTGTCCTTCTCTGAATTTTTCCAGTTCAGTTTTATGCTTTTGTGATGGGGAGACCAGAACTGTGCATGATGTTCAAGCTGTGTCAAGAAATGGATTTGCACAGAAACAGCACCCACTCTTGAGTTTGTTTCATAAAATGTGATTTGATTTTTTACACATACAGAAAGCAGAGCACAAGTTTTCAGGGGGCCATTGACATAAAACCAAATCCTTAATACTGACAGTCAGCTGGAACTGTATCATATTCCACATTAAACCAACTCCAGTGAATTTCACATGCCATTTCACTGCTCTGGCAGGGGGTGCTAGTGAATGTGAACACAGTCACAGAGCAGCTGTTTTACACACCAAGAGACTTTGAGCCAGGTCTGGTACACGTGCTAGCATGAAACCAAGGGTTTCTTTTCTTTTCCTTCAGCTAAAGAAGATCTCAGCATTATTTGTCTGCATCTGCACATGGAAGCAACTCCTGGATAGGCTCATGTCCTGGCTGCAGCAGGCCCGACTTAAAACACATTTCCATAATCCTGTGTCTGCTGTAAATCCACCAATCCACTGTGCCCAGAGGAATTACCTTGAGGAGGTGGAGGTTGAGGCAGCTGCACACAGCTCTGACAGCCACCAGCTTCCCGCTGCCGCCGGGCCCCGAGAGCAGCACGCTGCCCACGCCGCTCAGCGCGCTGGCCCTGCAACACACACCGAGGGGAGCTCTGCCCGTGCCCCAGCGCTCCCAGCGCTCTCCCCAAGGAATTCCCACTCACCGACGGCGCAGGTGGGGCCGGAGGGCATCGCAGAGCTGCTTCACCACGTCAGAAAGCCCTGCAGGAGACAAACTGCTCCAGAACTCACTGCTGTTACGGGCTGGGGCAGATGGGACAGTGCTGTTTGTTGAGCCCACCTGTGAGAAAGCAAAAACATCATCCAATAAAGACCGGTGCCAAGTGACAACATCTGTCCTGAAATGTCATTTTCCAATGGCAGGAGTGTGACAGTGGTCACAAGGGTCTTCAGGGTGAGAGAGAGACGAGAATGATGAATCTATGTTCAGAAGGCTTGATTTATTATTTTATGATATATATACTACATTATAACTATACTAAAAAGAAATAGAAAGAAAAGTTCTCTGAAGGCTAGCTAAGCTAAGAATAGAAAAAGAATGAATAACAAGTCTGTGTCTCAGCAGAGAGTGAGACCTAGCTCTGCCGTGAGCGGTCAGTAAATCTAAACATCCACAGGAGACCAATCACAGATCCACCTGTTGCATTCCACAGCAGCAGATAACCATTGTTTACACTTTGTTGCTGAAAATTCTCAGCTTCAGCAGGAAAAATCCTAACGAAAGGATTTTAATGAAAAGAATGTCTGTGACACAGGAGGCACAAGCCTCCCCAGGTACATTTGTCATCCACAGTACAAGCTCAGCCTCAGATCTCCCCTCTCTGCTCTCCACCAACATCTCACCAGATAGAGAGACGTGTTCTGGGTGTCCACCAGGTAACCCTCGGACTGCTCGCCTTCCACCATGCCTACGATCTTCTTCACCTTGAAATAAAGCTCTGGCCACCTAAGGGAAAACAAACAAGCACTCTGAAGTGCTTAGCCAAGATCTTGAAGGAAGGAACAATATAAATGTCAACAAGTAAACAGCTGATAAGCACAGGTAAGCAGAGAAACTCTAGTCCTCCTGCAGTATGCACAAGGATCAGCCAATGGGAATGTTGGGAATGCCACTGGGAACACCCTTATCCTGATACAAAGGGAACGTTCTCCCATTTAGCACAACTGTCCCAAAGCCACACGAGCAAAACCAAGAAAGGCAGAACTGGTGGCCAAACAAAGTTATTCTAATGTGAATTCCTAGGGCTTATATGCACATTTTGTTGTTTGTCACAAGTTGAGAAGCCCAGCTCCAACTTTGCTTTATGTGGCTCTGATGCCCTCAAGTCACCCTTTCCTCTTCACTCTTTATCCCCATCAGTTGCTCTACCTCTTTTTTCCCTTTCTTCCCTCCCTGACTATTCAAATGAGCTAACAGAGGCCTCCCTCTTAGCTTCAGCCCTCCATAATCCAGCAAAAACATTTCCCTCTTCCCAGTACGTTAACACACAGATAAAACAATAAAATCCAGGGATAGATCAGAATGGAATAAACTGATTTCAAGAGAGTCAATCATGGAAAAGCATCTTTGCTCTTCTGATACCAATAGAGCCACAGTGTGTTGACCTACCTTAGGAACTTGTCTGCATTTAGTTCTATAAACTCAGCATTTCCAAATGTTGGAACACACAGGATATCTCCCTCTTGGACCAGCCTACAAAAAACCCAGAGAGTTTCATCAGTGAAAGAGAGTAAATCCTTCTGGTTGTGTGGCCTCCCTGCCCTGCACCACTTGTGTTTCTACAAAAAACACAGAGATTTGAGGATGACTTCTGAAGGACAGGACAAGAAGTGTTGCGTCCAAGCAGAGCATACTCCTGACAGGACAATGCAAGGGGATATTCTAAAGCAACACAGCACCCGCACTGGGGGCGTGGATGTGCACATCCCCAGCGTGTGGCACGGACGGACAGTGCCTCTGCCCCGAGCGCGCACCGCGCACAGCTCACCGCGGCGTTTCGAAGTGCCTGTAGAGCACGCAGCCGTAGCTCCCCCGGCTGTTGTACGCCGGCGAGCACACGATCTCCAGGTGCAGCTCCTTGGCGAACGGCGGCACAGACAGCACGGACCGGCTGCCCTTCCCATCCGCGGCTCCGCTCCTTTCGTACCTCT